TTTCACAATCCATGCAAATTCTTCAATATTTAATTTCTTTAAAAATGATGCAAAGAAATAGCATATTTTGCGGCAACAATCTGAAAAGTGAAATTGTCATCTAAAGTGATTCGACGCAATAAAGTGATTCAAAGCAAAAATTCCGAAACGAGACTAATAGCTCTTTTGGGCTAATAAATTTAGATTAAAAAAAAGTCTAATATGTATTAAAAAAAGAGCAAATAAAATAACATGCAAAATGATAATCCCAGATTGTGGATAACATCAAGTGATTAGAAGTCTTGTGGAAATCAAACTAAAACAATAGCTTGTGCAGCCTGATTTGAAAAGCGACCAGAGCCTGTTTTTTTGCAGATGCAAGAATTTTTTTTTACTTTTTGCTTTTCCACAAGCAAAAAGATTCTAATCTTTCGATTTTATTCTTATTATTCTGGGATTATTAATTTTAATATGAGTTTATTTGCTGTTAGACATCTTTTTGTTTATATTTATTTACTCTATTTTTAATTATTTAATTGTACTTATGTACTTATTTATCACTTTTATATTAATCCTCTGCCCTCTTATTTCTCTTCTCAAGAGATATTAACCACTCTTTGCTGTAGTCCTAATAAAGAAGACTTAGACGCTCCAGAAGGATTAAAAAAAATTTTTTTATTATTATGGATACAAGAAGTAGTCATTTTAGTTCCCTCCCTACAAGTTTTTCAACTATTTTTTTTTTCCCCTGAAATAATAACCAAAGAAGAATAAATTAAGATTTATTCTTTCCAAAAATAAGTTAAACTATTGACCAAAAAATGAAAACATCTCGTTTATTTTTGTGAGTCCACCAGCAACTGAGCGGTAAACTCGCTGAAAACTGGTAGTTTGGTCTGGGGTTCCAATCCCTGCGGAGAGGCTGGCTGCATGGGCGCTTTCGTTGTTTTCCGATTTGTAACATGTATACGAGCCAGTTTCTCTTACAAAGGCATCCCTCCTCTTATGCAGATAGCCCTCGAATGCTTTGCCGTATACATCTAAACCAAACCGAAATACTTTGGGAAATGAACAAAAAGAATAAAAAAAAAACTGATGTGAACACCACAAGACGACTTATTTACATCATACATATTTTTTCTGCGTTTCATTTAAACTTATTTTCTCGAATTATTCTAATTAACCGATCCCTCATGCAAGTTGAAAATGAGACGAAAAATAGCACTGAATATCCCGGGAAATTTTTGTCGTGCAGACGTCAAGCTTCTTGTAACTTTTTTTTTTTTTTTTTTTTTTTTTTCATAACGAGTACAGAACTAGCCTAAATAGGCATGGGAACCTGAAGAACACATTGAAAGATAGATTTCAATATTTATCCAAATAATTTTTTTTTCTTTTAATTTGACATTGTCAAAACATGCATATTTTCATCATTTATAATACTTTCATAATTGGATATACATGACTACCACCAAAGATTGAGAAAATAAAATAAAAGCCGTGTAAAAACATTTAAGCTGGTAAGGGGCAGTATATATATATATATATATATATATATATTTGGTACTGCCGATTGCAATAAAAAAGAGAAGTGCACAACTAGATGTTATAGCTGCCCAACATACAAAATTTCATTGTTATAGGACTAATCGTTTTTGAGTTATGCGAGATACATACATACGTATGTACGTACCATACAGATGTCAGGAAAAAAATCTATTTTGAATCTATTTTACTGTTTAACTACCCATTTAAGAAAAAATGACTTCTTTATTCTTTCCTTACGCACAGTTGGAAAAGGATTGTGAAAATGGATTTGGGAACGGGCAAAATGGATATTTCCGATGAAATATGAACCCCAAAAATTTTCGCGTTTATAAACTTCCTTTACTTCTCACAGTAATAAAATAAAACAAACGCGAATACAATCACTTCAACTAAAAAACAGCCAAATAACATGAAAAAGTGGTACGTTTTCAAAGTGAATTCATTTCTCTACATTCAAAAAGTTAAAAAAAAAATTCTTCAAGGAATCAAAATTAACCCCCGGATAGTTAGGAACTCCAAAGTCGTGAAACGATGCTGTGAGCAATTCCGAACTCTGCAGCCACACTTGTCACACTGCGGCCTTCTTCCAACTTCCCAATGATTCGACCTCGGGTAAAAGCATCCAGATGTCGTCTAACAGATTGATTATTCGCCATTTCTCGCTGAGGCAGCAACTCGGTGTGATTTTAACTGCTATACGGCGTGCAATCTCTTTGCCAGAAATACTGATCTTACACCGACAACATGCTTTATACTATTCAGACACTCCCTCATTACGTCTACCTGCATATCTGCGCATGTGCTACCGTACATCACCTTACTTAATCTCCTGACTGGTCTTTCTGTCCGCTCTGCCTCTTCGTTCAGCTGATATGCTAATTTTTCGACTTCGTCCTTAATTTTTGCACACCAGTGTATATATGAGTGTGTAAGATAAAATTATGTAGATCAGCTTTATAATTCAATTTAGTAATGGCCTTTTATTTCCTTATTTTTAACCTGGGTATTTCCTCTCTATCCTAACAGGAATAATAACTTTTATGAACTGGGTCATTCCTAAAAGAGCTCACATAGATATATGCTTACATGAAAATAAGCCCACTGATAAATAAAATACGTAGAAATATCTTTACATTAATCAATCAACCAATTAATCGATCTAAGCATCGCACACCTACTTGAATTTTTTAAAGAAAAAATATTTGATTATTTGAAAAAATTATTGGACAAATGCTTATATTAACCTTTTTCGGGGCGGTATATAAAAGAATGAAAAACTATAGTAAAATTTTGCATGTACTGTAATATTTTACACCACTGCCCTCTGTACGACATTTACCTCCTGTAACTGCCAATAGTTTATTATTGTTTTTTATTTACTCTGTTTTTGCATACTTTTGATCTCTATCTATAGAAATTGATGTGTGAATGTAGTTATTTAAGTTTGGAGACAAAACGGTTCTAGAAGACCACAGTTTCCAATCGAAGTGTGGAATCATTATGAAGCAGCCTTCGAAAAGTCTTCTAAAACATTAATTAACCTAAACATTAACAATTATTACGAAAGCTTGCATAAGGTACTAAATTCATTATTTAATTGTAGCCATTTTAGTATGTGGTTTTTGTTTGATGGACTGAAAAAAAAATTAGCCTGTAATCGTTTATTACTAGCTATTGTAAATACAACGTGTACAGAAATAAAAAGAGAAAATATGAAAACTTACATTTGGTAATCGCGAATCATGTAAGAAACTATGATGAAATCGATGATAAAATTAGATATTTACGTATATTAGCTAATATTCAGAAAGTTTGTAGAGAAATTGGGTACTTTGGAAGCAGGAGATATGAAAAATAAGCAAAGCCTTAGCCGGAAATCGAACCACGGACCTCTGGAATACGCGCCCAGCGTGCAGACCACCACACCACGAAGGCATGCCAAGAAGGCGGGAGAAATACCTTATACGTTTATGTGAAATATACATGATTTATATATAACAAGGTATTTTACGTAATTTAAATAAAATAATTATTTCTATTTGCTTATTCTTCTAAATGTTTATATTATAAAATGTGTAATTTATACTTACTATTATTTAATTTTTCAGCAATTAAAATTGTAATAATTTTTCGCTGTACATTCTGTTTCATTTTTCTTCCTTCCTTGCCTCTTTTTACTAATTCAAAACGGCCCGTTTGTTAATCTTATATAGCAACTTAATCTACACATAAGTTATACAGTTTTTGATATATATATATACCATAATATTTGGTAATTTAAATAATTTTTCTTTGGAAAATTCAAGTAGGTGTACGATGTTCAAATCGATTGATTATCGATTAATTAATGTAAGGATATTTCTACGTATTTTATTTATCAATGGGCTTATTTCCATGTGAACATATATCTATGTGAGCTTTTTTCCGTGTTAGCATATTTCTAAGTGAGCACTTTTCCAAGTGAGTTCTTTTCTATGTGGGCATATTTCTATGTGGGCTTTTTTCCTGTGGGCATTTATACCTGTGAGCATTATTCTGTCAGCATTTTTCCTGTGGGGATTTTTCTGGTCCCATCTATGTCACATGGCTTGCGAAATGCTCATGACGTAGCTAATTCGGAATCTAAACTCAAAATTTTTAAACTCAAACTAAAAAAAAAAATTTTAAACTAAACTAAAAATTTCTAAACTCAAAACTCAAACTGCACAATAACCTTTCTAACCTACACCAAAACCTTCTCTTGGTAAGATTCCCGACTGGATTAATTGCGCCCTTTACCTTCTGCCTTTCTTGGTGCTTTTCGGCTTTCTTCCCAGCACAACAATATGAAAATTGTAAATGTCCTTGCATACGCACGACTAGCGTGCCGAATAAACTGCGGCCACAAATATCAGTTGAAATAAAAATGAATATTTAAAATTACTCGGCTACCAAGTTTCTTAATCATTATGGATTCAATATTTTAGCATTATATGCAATCAGAATTCTTAATCTTCAATACGGATTTACGTTTTGTTAATTCTGCGTGGTACGTCTTACTAAGTCTTTTTCTCTTTTTTTGTTACAATTACCCGATAGCATCATTACACACACGCATATACATGTACATATGAAGAAATATTTCATTATTTTGCTTATTCTAGCATTTAAATTATTTGAGGCTAAATCCAAAAAAATATATTCCACAGTTCCAGTGGTGACGTCTGAAAAAGCTAGCTTGTGAAACTGCAGTTAGTTATGTGTATGTGGTAAATATTTTTTTTAATTTTAATTCCTATTGCCTAAACGTTAAGTTTTCGTTTACTTTACAGCACATTTCAGCCTTTCAGCTACGTGTTTTGACTTATGTTCAGTATAGATAAATACTTTCCGTGGACTGCACAATAATCCCAATAATTTAGGAAATATAATTTTGCCTTTACTAACCCCTTCGTAAAAATAAATTTGAAAATCAAAATAAAAGTGAAAACCAATACAAAACTGCAATGAGTTTAATGCTTACGTTATTCAAGAAGAAAATACGATTCTTGTAACTTCATAATACAATCTTTGAATATGAAGCAAACGGTTCAAACCGCGCTTTTCATATTCTATGTAAATTTAGAAAAAAGTTTATTTTTTCTTTCTCAGTAGACTGAAGTCAATCATTTCCAGTTCTCCAACGTTATTACATGCATCTTGAATTTCTTGTGGAGCATCTTGTAACTCCTCTTCAAGAACATCTGCAGCTTTAGAACCACATTTTTCTCTAGCACGGTCTACAAAGCAGTTAGCCATGAAACTGTACATCCTATAATGACAATAATAAAAATCACTGTTTGTGCAATAACATCGCCTTACTGATTGAATGAAATCAGTTTCGAAACTCTACAGTGCCTGGTTTTAATTTGAAACTATATTATATTCATTAAACATTTAGAACAGGTAACAACAAAAAAATAAATAAAAGTAAGTTACAGTATTCCTAGCGTATTTTGCTCCTTGTTTTTACTAAATTTATCATCCGAATATCGAAAGAGAGAATTGTGTGAATAATTCAGTTTTCGAAGGACGCGGTTATATTAAGACCATACCAAATGAAAAGTAATAATAGATAAACAAACTATACATAACTAACCCAACATTATTTCTTTAAAAGAAATCTTCATTCCAATAAGAATAACATAGTAATATTAACCTTACGGTATCTAATAAGATATCTTCATTTCTACTTCTGTATAATTCTAATCTCGCCTGTTCTTATTGCTGTCTCTGTTACTCCTTAGGTCTCAAATCATCCATAAGTAATTACAGAAGATCAGCTGTGCAGTCTGTGCTGTCTGTGTACAGGTGACTCAGCGAAACTGAGATTGGAGGTCAGTTCGCGTTTGCTTCGCTGTGATCGGTCGGTTCTTGTATCAGGCTTGAATTAAGTTCAGCAGTTATAAGGGAAAGGTTCGACGTGACCTTCGCAGGTAGTTTGCGAGGGTTTGTCTTTGTTTATAAGACGAAAAAATCGCTTAGTGTGAACGAATAGATTTTAAATTTTAGGGAAGCTCCTTCTCTGAACACATTGAGGAAGATGAAAATTACGTGAATATTATTTAATATAAAATTAACATAATATATTAATATCACGTGAAAGTTTTCAAAGCCTGACGCTGTAAAGCTAGAGGAACGGTACGCTCGGCCGCTGGTGGGCTTCAACATGAATACGAGAGAGTTCCTTTAAGAAAAAGCTCCTCCATTTCCTTAAAAGTATTTTTTACTTCCCGCCAACCTGCATACAAGAGTAAGCAAGGTAATGCTTTCGATTCAAAAATTCGCTAGTGAGTTTTCAGCAACTAAACGCGAGTTAGTATCCCCTCAGAACCTTTTTTTTTTTTTTTTTTTTTTTTTTTTTTTTTTTTAAATTTGGAGAATGATGTCTGTCTGTCTCTGCATGTGTGTGACAATTTTATCGTGCATGATAACTCTTATATGAAACTTCCAATAATTTCCATATTCCGTAAATAGACTTTTCTTAATTCACCTAAAAAGCTGATTAGATTTTGGCTAAAATTGGACAACCGGAAGTGGCACTTTATTTAAAGCCCAAAAGAACCTGTTTATATTAGCGGGTTTTTGAGTACAAGAACCACGCATGAACTTGACATCTCCGTTGAAGAGAAAAAAGAGCACTCATTATAGGTAAAGGAGGTAATGTTTCCAGTCTAAAATTTCGATAATGAGTTTTCGGGGAATAAGAACGAATTAGGGTCTTGCCACACGTTTTTACAATTTTTACATTGATGTCTGTTCTTTCTTCCACGATAACTCTTATATGAGACTTCTAAAAATTTCTCTTTTTCGCATTTAAGATTTTTACATTCATATAAAGAGTTGATTAGATTTTAGATAAAATAGGACAACCGGAAGTGGTACTATAGAAGAAGCCCATAACAGTCTTTATTGGATTTGAATGGTACTATAACTTGAAGCGTATAAGAGTTCTTAATGAGAAAATAGCTTAAAATACAATCCAAAACTTTTCAATTCAGTATTTAAGATTTTTATATCAACGGGAGCCAGCCAAATATTACATTTAAATATGGTATTTAAAATATGTAGTACGTGATTGAGTAAAACATATTAAATATATAAGCATTAAGTGTATTTTTGGAATTATGTTAAATGGATCGAGAATAAGCTCATTATGAAGACGAGCTCTTGTTGCGAAGCAATTAAATGCATTATCTTCAGTCCTCAGTTTTATGTTCTTTCAGTTTTGTGCAGAATCCGTTTTCAAATGAAATGATACTTCCACAGAATGTTATCGCAAATCACAGCGTGAGAATTGAATTGTACATTATCACGTCCAATTATTATTGTCCATTTTAGGGAAGAATAGAATCATTAAAAGTGTGTGGTGTTTTTAATTAACATTTAACAGTGAAGTTTATAAATAAATGAGATTTTATTTACAAATGATCAAAAATAAGTGATAGCTTACTTAAAGCTCGTTGCAATCCCGTCAGTGTCTTGTCTTAACATGGAATCAGCATGATGTTTTATGCCGGACAGATCAGTCCCCCCCCCACTTTTTATCTTTTTTAAATTTAGATGTCATCGTATCATTAAGACTTTCTTCTCAGTAATAAAAATGCTGCAAACTTTTGATTTGCCTAAATTTATTTTTAGAGAACTGCAAGGTACATTTTGCTTTCTTCTCTTATATTACGCGAAATTTGACCGCAGTTTCCTTATAATCGCATAATATATGACTAAGGGTTTGGGGTTTGGCTTCGGATTTATTTCAGTTGTATTACCTGATTTATTTTCAGTGTCAGTCTCTTCAGTTGATAAAGCCAGAATTTCTTCTATTTCCTTCTTTAACCATATTTTTTCTTATACTTTCATATTCCTTTAAAATCACAGAAATCTTATATTTCAGTTGAAAATCATTTTATCTAATCTCAATCGTGTGACCTTGAAACAATATCAAGAACACACTTAATGCTCTTATCCCACCCAATCAAGACATGGTTTGGAATTAAAAATCTAATTCGTTGTCTCCCTAATTTTTAGACTTTGTTTATAAACTTGACAACAAATAGGACTAGCTTGAAAAATAGAAAAATTTATAAAATAATAATAGCAATTTGAAATAACATACATAAGAATGAAAATTAGAGACTTTTATTATAATTAACGTCAATGAATAGACTGCAGTATTTTATAAGGCGAAGCTTTGTACGATTGTGTTTTCGAGCTAAAGCTATTGAAAGAATTTTTCGAGGCCAGCGAATCCTGGGTAGCTTTGGCGATTAAAATTTTACTTCTTTTTCAATTTCTTTTATTGTATCTGTAAGAATTTAGAAGTTAATTGTAACATAAGAACTTTGGTTTTGAATATCTCACGTCAACTCTCTTTTCCTCCCAATCAGTTTAATTTGCCGAAAAATATGACAAACTTTTTCAATATGACATTGAAATTACTGAAAGTAAAGAAATACGGAAAAAATTGCTAGTGGTTTTATTAATTTATTAGCACAAATGCTAAAAGATGTTGAAATTAAAATAAATCAAACAATGTTTGGTAATTCAACTCTGTTTTAAAATTTTGTCACGGAGTTTCCCAATAGCAATCAAAATTGCATAGCTAATGACTTTGTTTTATGATCTCTAATTCTTTCAATATATTTTGTTTTCTAGTATGTATTTCTAGAACAGTAGATTCATATACAATGTTTTCAGAAAAATTGGTATTTCAAGATTCATTTGGTTTATTTGATTACAGCAAAGCACTCGAAGGCTGTTTGTCTAAGAGGAGGAATGCCTTCATAAAGGACTTTCTAAGGGAAACTAATTTGTATACACTGGGAGAAACTAGTATGAAAACGGCCATGCAGCCAACTCGTTCTCTAGGCCCCGGTGTGAACTACCAATATTCAGCGACTTTAACGCTCGGATCCTGGTGGGTCTAATTCAAGGCTGAAATACAATCTTTGTCAGTAAAATTGCGAAAGAGATTGCTGTTCTAAATGCCGATCCAGGGTATTAGTGATGATATTTAGAAATGTTTGTAAGCAGTGGTTCGCTTTACACAATGAAATGCGTTTTACATTAAATCAGAAAGATTAATATTTACACCACTTTTAAAAGCGTTTTTCATTCTCTTAACGCTTAAGAGTTTAGATTTATCTATAATTTTAAAATCAAGGTTCAGTCATTGTGCTTTAGACATAAGTAATTTAGATATTTATTCTAAAGTAGAAGGGTTTTATGAAGCTATCAGAGGAAAGAAGAAAGATTTGAATTGATACTTACGAACAGATCAGTGCATCTTCTTTCAGCTCTGAGCCTCTCGTCATTACAAGAGACATGCCTTTACTTTGGCCTTCAAAAATGCACTCATACATGTATTCTTCATTATCATCGAAACATTTTGCCATTGCAGCTTCTTCTGGATCTTCTATCATTTCTAGAAGAGAAAGAATTATTCGTTGCAATGGATTTTCCACTACAGCTTTTCCGTAGTTCTAAAAGTATATTATCTGTGAACTGTAAAGAGTAAAAGAGGATTTCCTTCATATTCCTAATTAGTACCGAAATCACAGTGATACATTAGCCCAGAATATCTTGATTGCAGATTTCTAATAAATGCTTTTAAAATTCAATCCTGTTTAGAGAAAACTTTATTTAAAATTTTCGAAAAGGAGTTGAAATAAAATGTACAAAATGAATGGGCATATATTAATTAAAAGAAGATTTTATGTCGTGAATATTTAGATGCGAAACCAACACTCATTTAAACATTTTAAGTTTAAACTAGCGGAATACATAAAAGAAACAAGTAGTAATAACAAGTAGTAGAAATTTGTAATCCATATTAAATTAAAAACACAATAGATAGCTTTCGATAACTTCCTAATACTGTTTAAGTCAAATTGTATTAGAAAGTCTGAGAACTTTAATGGAGTATTTTGTGCTTTGTATTGATATGTTTGGGTTGAAATTAAATTTATTGTAACTGATATCAAAGTGCAATACTGAAGCTTTGATAAATATTTATTTATCTCACAAATGATAAAAATACTCCCACAGGATAAAGTTTTTTTTTAAATCGTTTGAAAGTTTGTTAATTCGCTTTGATTAACAGATTTTTAAGTAACGAAATATCTCTTAATTTCTTCACCGATTGCTATTATATTTCTACTGCATTAAAATGAAAATTTGTTTTTATTATTAACAGTTAATCAGGGTGAATTTTATAAGGTATCAATATTGCCTAGAGCTGAGCAACAACTAAACTGAGAACCTAGTTCACTTATCACCGATCCAGGCAACAGTTAAGCATCAAGTCAACGCTCAAGTTGGCTTTCGACTGGGTGTTAGTCATACGGAGATTACATGCTAACTCGTTGGAAGATACAAGGGCTATGACAGTGAATATAGTTTGGAAACTAGTTAATTATGACAGCGTACTCAGTAGGCTTACAGAAAACTTGAGCACACGCACCACTTTGAGCAATCAGGGAAAGATAGAAATGTAACAGATTTGTATGAACAAAGTTAAATTGCAGATAATGCGTAAGCTAATATAGGAGAACATATCATCTAATTATATAGGCAGTATGTAAACAAGTAATCGAATTAAAAATATACATTCAATATAGAATCATGAAAAAAGTTAAATATGGGTAAAAGAGTTGAACATAAACTGTTGTGGGAAATTTACATTGTTTGTGGCAAGCTGCATGTGGCTGAGTAAGCAGTGGCAAAATATATGATCCAATTTTAATAATAATTTAAATACACATAAAAGTAATAAGAGTTGAATATGCTATAGTATAGTTCAACTCCAAACAGTATTTTCAACTGAATATATTCAATTTTATAAAACTTTTCAGCGATACAAAATGCTGATACTCAGTATTACTTTACTGAACAGCAGTTTAGAAGATAGTTAAAAAATAATATTCGAGATTCCCATGTAAACTTCTGCGAAAAATTATCAAACCAATTTAGTTGCTAAGCTATCTCAGCAGAAGTACTTCAAGTATTTAACCTGCATATGATTTAATTTAAGTTAAATAAATTAATAAATATGTTTACCAATGTTCTGGCAATTATCTTTGATCAAATTTTCCAGCTCCCGAAGGCCTTCCTCTACTTCTTCATCGCTTTGACCGCGAAGGCATTCCTCAGCAGCATTTCTCAGGCAATCTACTGTAAGTCGTAGTTCCCTTAGAAACAAACAAACAACTTATTATTCAGAGGTTTTACTTAACCATTTATGCAGAACTCAGTAACTGAACAATTCATTTTGAAACAAATATTTATACGATATTCTAAAAATCTATGTTTCTTAAGGCGTTTGTTGTTATTAATCTTCCTGACGTGAATCTCAGCCGGACCAGGTCCACGACTTTTATCACGACGAAGAGTCAAGGATTGCACCTGCCGCTGGTTTAGGTATTTTACATCTTATAAGTGACAGCGCGAGTTTACTCACCTCTGTTTCCGTTTTGGTGGTGAAACTTCTCGAAGAGACAAATCTAAGCGTCTTATACTCCTCTTCTCTTACCATAAATCTCTCGAGAGGACTCGTAAAAAATTTTTGAGCCCACCAGCGGCCGAGCGGTAAAGTTGCTGAACACTGGTAGTTCGGCCCGAGGTTCGAATCCCGCGAACGGGCTGGCTGCATGGGTGTTTTCGTGGTTTTCCACATGTGTAACGTGTATACGAGCCAGTTTCCCTTAGAAAGTCCTCCACGAAGGCATCCCTCCCCTTAGGCAGATAGCCCTATTGTGCTTTGCCATAATTAAATACACCACACCACACACCGTAAAAATTTTTGAAGAATCTTTGTGCCACAAAGACACTGTATACTTACAAATGCGTATGATTTAGCCAGGAATCGAACCCGGGCTCAAGGATACAACAGTCGGGTGCACGCCCCTAATGACGAAAGTACGGACAATCTCTATGTTTAATACGCAATCTCTTTACCATAAGGTGGTATGGCAGCCATGTAAAAGTAGTTGATATACTTCTTCCCGTCGTGTGACATTTTGAATAATTTATGCATTTTTAAATGAACTTTAAAAAACGCATAATTATATACATTTTGTTTTAATGAATAAAATGCACACCCATGTATAACAGCCCAAAGTTGTAATTATTTCATATTTCTGCCGCAGACTTATGTAAATTATCTACCTCTTCTACAACATTTGTCATGACATTTATTAAAATTTATAACATGATATTGCATTATCTTTTCGAAATGTTTATCTCTCAAAATTTAAAAGCAAGAATATTGCTTGGTAAATGAATTTGTAAATATTTCTGTAGCTTTCCTCTCTTAATATGAAACGTGATTGTCAAAAATGTTCAATACTTAATTTCTTTCTTAAATTTAATTTTCATTTAAAAAACTATTGAATTAACTACATTAAACTACTATTAAAATGAATGAAATTTCCAAGCGTATGACTGAGAGATCAATATTTCTCTAAAATCTAAAAATCAGTTTTCAGGTAAATTTAGTTATTATTAAAGACATAAAATTATAAATTAAGCAAAGAAAAACTAAACTAAAGTAATAAAACAGAGAAAATAGAAATATAGATTATACCAACACAAATAAAATTAGAATAAAATTAAATTTTTCAATTAAACAAAAATATTTTTTCCTCTATGTAAAACAAAAGATCTGTTCAAATAAACTAAAGTACTACTTTTTATTGACTTAAAATAACAAAACTAGTTCTTGACCGATGACTCGTGGAATAAACAAAGTGCGAGGAGGCGTGCATGTATTATTCAACTGCTTTCCTGTTTATAAGGTACGTATTGTTACGAATTTTGTACATATACGGATAAATTTAGTGAAATTATATGTGAAATTGTTTTATTTTACTGTAAAATGTAAACAAGAAAATCTAGAAGGAGGATGTTCTGCCGGAAAAATAAGAATAAAGGGGCAAGTCTATTTAATATTGACTAAATGGCTATCTCGCTAAATTGATGAAATGCCGCCAAGCTTCCAATTGTTTTGGCGACTATTTTTTTCCTCTAAATTTGGCGAGAAATATCAAAAAGTCGCCCAAACTAGCGATCATTTGGCGACATTTTAGTCTGATCCCTGTATCTCCGTAAAATGTAATGTAATTGAATAATTGTAATTGGTCACAATATTAGCTGTAACCATATCTGGCCCTCATAGGCCTTCCAATAATTTCGAGAAGCAGAAACTACTAGAAATATTTTAGTGGCTGAGCGAAAACTATATAATGCTAGAGTGAGCATCTGCGTCAGTTGCTGTTGTAAGTTCAGCGTGAGTTCGGAATACTGAGATATCTCCGGGTTAGCATCTTCTTTAGATGCGCTTTGCTTGCTTTATGTTTAACGTTCTTAGTAGTTCGAAGTGTAACTACTGATTGTACTCAGTGATACTGTGAGCACCTGTACGAGTATTTTTGTGGAAAGTCCGAGAACTCTGAAGTGTTTTTTTAATAAAATTAATTTTATCAACCTTTCATCGGATCTGCGTGCATTCAATCTATTACGAACCCGAACGCACGCAACAGTGTTAATCGAAAGGCGTTATGACTGCTTGAAGTATTTTTGAATTAAATTGTCTGTGACACTGTATTGAAGGGAAAGTAGCGAGATATTCTAAATTTACCTGCAGACTTCTTCCTCAGTGGTATCTCCAAGTAGAAGAGTTAGCAAATTATCCACACACTGTTCAGCTTTTTCTTCACCACATTCTTCGGCTTTTCCCATAGCTGGATAGATATACAAAAAATAGAAGCGTTTCTCATCTGGTATTTCGATTTAAACAAACAGTAGTATATTATTCTAAAAAACTACCATAACAAGCTATTAATTCATATTTATGTACACATTTTTTAAATGTACAGAAAGTAAAAGCAAATCTTATAAACCAAGCGTTAACAATGCATTTAGAAAAGATGCATGCTCAGTTTCTTCCTCTTGTTATATCTTTCATTTTCTTTAATTTTAGTTACTTAGTAGAAATATAATTATTCAGAATAACTTGGATACTATAGGTTCTAAAGCTCATAATCCAAAACACGTGAGAGCTATCTGCTTAAGCGGAGGGATGCTTTCGAAAAGTACTTTCTAAAGGAAATTGGTTTACATTATTAACTGGGGAAAATTACGAAAACGCCCATACAATACACGGCATCGGTGGCCCAGATTAACTTAGAACTCATTTGAACTCATTTCCTTAGAATTATCTAAACATTTCAGATTGGATTTGGGCAATTCAGATTATGAGAAAACATCGAGAGCTATCTGTACCCCTTTTTATAAATCTTGGCTACGCCTCTTTCAGTTAGGTTACAGTTATGCTTTAACTGATTTAATATAAAATGCTTATTTGGTTATTATTTATTGCTTCATATTTGAAGAAAATTTAAGTTATATTTTAATTGAGTTAAAATGTTATATTTATAATGTTAGTGCGCGAAATACGTTTTTTAGTCATTAATCTACTTTTCTGTGTGTTGTGTGCAATTGTCAGCATTTAACACAGCGAGATACTGCTCAGAAGTGCATTATTAAGGTTTACCAGAGGATTGAGGAATAAAATATTGAACGGATGATTTAAAATTTATATCTGTAACTGCTCATAATGAAGAAAATAATTCTTTGAGTACTGATAATGCATACAATTTTATGCATTTTCAATCAGTATGTATGATGTCGGTGCTTCTTGCGTCATAAATTTTAATTTTAATTTTTTTAACCTGTTGAAAAAAGTGTGAAAAGTGTGGTTAGGTGATTTATGGAGAAATTAATGATTTCAAAGTCGTATAAATGTCCGATTTGTGAAAGGAATATGAAATTATAGAACAAAAATATGTATAGATGATTTGAGTGCATATGTAATGTTACACGAGGCAAATGTTAGCGTCGAACTGCAAGGTCGGTTCGGAAGGATTCATAGTTTACGAAAAGTAAATTCAATATGTATGGTGGAATGCGATTGCCAGCTACGTACACTATGTGACAGTGAAAATGTAACACCATTAACTCTTGTTCCGAAGAATAGGCAAATTTCAGGAAAGACACAGTGAACCCAGTTGTGCAAATGATACGAAATGCTTTGCATTCAAGTTAAAGTGAAGCGAGAAATAAGGGAAAGAATCTGCAGAATCGACAATTGTTGCGCTGCTCTGCCGGGCAGAGTAATCGGTTTGCAAACTATTTCTCTGTTGCACAGGAGGCATTAGCCCAGAGAATGGCAGAACGCCGCAACTATAATAGATAACATCTTGAATATGCACCTGCACAATTATGTATATCGCAATGCATATCATGTAGTTTAATCCCTTTTACTTGAGCTAATTTAAAGCTGAAAGGTTGGAGTACCGTTGATGCCGCCGCCGGTGGCAGTACTTGTAGTGCTCGTAGGTGGCCCCCTCACTTCTACATAACATAATATAACCGTGACACTTTCAGTGGACAGGCACCTACAAGAGTCCTTCAGCACACGTGGACCGATGCATCCGCAGGCATGCAGTGGTGACCCCGCAGGCCACTTCTGTCGACACTTTGCGGCAAGTGGAGGGCCCTCTTGATGCACCCATATAGACAGGACCATTATTCGCCGATTGTCGACCGGTTACCGACACGCATGGCGTCCCTTTAGAAGATTTCCATTGAACCTATACTACAGGAGATTCCGTTTGCGATGGTATGGGATAATATCGAGCCACGTGTACTTCGGAATGGCACAATTAGGCGGTTTTCGACGAGTTTCGTGGTTTCGTTTCAGCAATGACAGTCACAATGTACAATTCTGGGGCGATGTCGTGACATATCTAATTCGGCAGCAGTGGTGGAGTTAGACACTGCGCGACAATGCGCCGTCATATTTTGAGACGCCATTGCCTACGATACTACCAGCTCGCAGTGTTGACAATAGGAGTAAGCTCATTTACCAGCAAGATAAGGCCAGACCGCACTGATTGGAGTTCGCTTGCAATATATGCCACCTCCGCGTTCAGAAGATGAACTGCGTCAAACACTTATTCCTCAGGAGACAATCTGCATACTCTTTGCGTTTGCATCGCCACCAACGTTGGTCTTACAAATAACGAGCATGTTGTGTAGTTGCTCTTTTTATAAGTGTGTCATGGTTGCAATGAACATCATTTATTGTTCGTTGCGGTTTTTATCCTTTTGCGGATTTTCATCACTTTCTAAGCATACGCTCAGGGTGTTTCATTTTCATTGTCACGTAGTGTATATGGGGTGCTGCAATGATTTTATACATTTTGAGCTAAGGTTGTATAAAATGATTGTGGCTGTCTGGAAGAGTTTTTGCAAGGAAGTGTGTATAAGTTACGTTTGAAAGGGGATGTGATGTTAGAGGCGTGATTGTGAAAATTCAGCGAAAGTTAATTTGGTATGCAAAAATAAATTAGAAAGAAGAGAGTCGAAGAAAAATGCGTGTTTGTTCATATGAAAGGAGCGGATAAGTGCATGTTTAGAGCAGCTGAAAGCAGAGGTGCAGAGTCATTTTCAGGAATAATTAAAATAAACATTCTGCTTGTTAATTTGGGACTTTTGACTGCTGGAAAGCTTTCTTTCAGCTACCTCGAGGCCGAAAGATACCAGCATTAGCCTTTGAAAGTGAAAAATAGTTTACACTTCGAAGATTCGAATACAGATATATTCTATAAAAGCCGAAAATTAAAGGTAAGTTTTATTTATTTTTATTGGATAAAGTGAAATATCGGGTGCACGTTAAATTTAGTGATTTCTTTGTGGGCTAATATTACTTTTTAACCTGGCTTTTGCTGTGGAGTCATCATTCTGAAAAGCTTTTCTTTAATTTTTACTTGAAGCAGTGGAGTTGCAGGATTTTTCTTTCCTGGTCACTTGTTCTCTATTTCTGATGCCTGTTTATTTCTAAACGCTGAAACAGAAAACCTCTTTTATTTTCATTACGTTGAAGGTACTTGAAAGTTTCAACTATTCTTGGAGAATCGTGGTCGTGGTTGGTGTGCAATGCTGACTTTGTGCAATTTCTGAATTTTTTAACAAAAGCAGATCGCTGTGTGCATGAGGAAAAACAGAAATAATGTATTATGTGTTTTGTTTAAAGTTTAATTTATCGTTTTTGAGTTTTTAATTTGTACTATAGCGTCACTTGTAATTTTAATCATCATTGGGTATTTCAAATTGAATTTTTCATTGATTACTTTTAATATGTTGATAGTATTTTCTGACATACGATAAATATTAATAATTTGACGATCTTTAAAGAATCGCGAAAATCGCAAACTTGCACCCGATAAGTAACTTTTTTATTATTATTTTAATATATAGCGTGTGCTGTTGTAATTAATTGCTCTTGATATTATATTTTCTACATGAAAAATTGCGTACTATACTAAATTTGTTGTTTTTGTTTCTGCAACTTACTTTTCTTATTGTGAGAAATTAGATATTTGTCAGCTATTTATGTATAAAATATTAATATGCGCAAAAAAAGTATACCATCATCAGGAATCTGAAAAATAGTGAAATGAAAGCTGTGTATGATTTTCTGCTATGAGAAGATGAGCATTTGATACAAAAAATAATGGCTGATCTTTGGAATATGGTAACAGGTAGTTTGGCGACATTTTGGAGGCGATAAAGGTTACTACCTAGGACTTTGGGAATAATGTGAGAAGTACTCAGTTCCGATTACGCATTATTTTGTGTGAGGGAAATGAGAGATCATGAGATATGTCATGTGACATTAATGGACAAATCACTTTTCTTTAATCGGAAAAGGGGGTAAATTTGTAAAAATATCTGCTGTACAGCATTAGTTTCATTCTATGTTCTGTGAAACAGTGTTGTTTAATATTTGGATCCCATGGCCCTATATAAAGTAAATCCGAAATTTTTATTGTGTTTATGTGTAATTGAAAAGAATTGCTTAATTACGGATAAGTATGAATGTCCAACATGTGAGTATGAAATGAGATTGTGTTTACAGATAAGTTTGAATGGCGGTGCAAGAAATCTGGTGAAAATGGACATTTTGTGATCCGCCATGCACTCGAGATTCTGTAGAAGATTAGGGAAGTTAGTATTTTTAATTATTTGAGGATATTATTTTTATGCATTGTTCTTAATGTAAGGAGTAAATAAATTAATATGGTATTATCGGAAAATTGTTATTAGCAATGATTTAGTTTAAAGTAATTAGGATTGTAAGCTAATTTTTATTAATTTAATGTATGTGCTTATTTATATTTTAAGTAGCGTTTTTAATTTAATTATATTTTAATTTAATGATCGTGATTTTGAGAGTTTATATGTTTGTAGTATTTTGGAATACGTTGAGTAGAAGTAAATGTGCATGGAAGAATTTAAGTATTTGACACTAAGTATTTGGAACCATTTTAATGTTTGCGTTAGAAATTGGTAGGTGAGGTTTATAATAGATAGTTTAGAGGGGAAAGTTTTTGGATATTTTATTTATTTTTATACGTGGCAAAATGTTTCATCTTTGGAAAGGGTATATACTTTTCCGCGATCAGGTAATTTCATATATGTCCTTTTTTTACAATTTAAAGAATTCACAAAATTTTCATGCATTTTCGTGAAATTTTTCTAATTTATGAGAAAAAAGCAGTGTACATGGATGTAGTGAAGAGTGTGCGCAATGCCATTTTTGTGCAATTCTGGGATTTTTTTTTAAGTAAAAATAAGTCGACGTATACATGGTTTAATTATATTTTAATTAAATGAT